GCCTTGTGGAACAGGTACTGGTGTTGGCTCTAGCTACGGCTTGCGTTTTGGATGGCCAAGATGTAATACCTTTTCGAGGATGTGTCGCGGCTTTTAACCGGCGGACTAAAACAGCTTTGCTATCAGTAATGGAGAGATTCAGCGCATGTAAGCGGAGGTGAAGGACCTCTTCAGAGAGGGACGTGAGGTTCTCCGAACCACGGGATTTGCGTGGCTTCGACGACACACGTGGACGAGCCATAAAAAAATTACAATATTTACGAGTAGACTGTTCAGTAAGCAAGGCAGCGAAGCGAATGATGAATTTTGCTTAAAATAACCTTTTTATAGCTAGACATACGTCTAAAGCTAAGCCAATGGACGATGGCGTACAATAGTGTTGCAGGAACACACGGTGCGTACAACGAGACATGAATAGAGGTATTTATTGAATCTAGCCAAAAAGAATGAATGTTACAAACGTACTAGACAGTGTTGCAACGTTTTGACCTTGGTACCTGTCTGTACCATTGTACTAAGATGAGACAAAGATATTAACAATTGTAGATTCATGGCTCGTTGCATGGCACGAGTTGCTCCGCTCATAGCAGTAACAATCCCCGGGAGCTCTGGCGCGTCACGCTCCATTAACTGCGATTTACTGTTTCACCGTAAATCTTTGTTTATACATGGGATTTGTTCTCTAAATGCTAGTGCTCGCTTAATTTACTACGCTCCAAAGTCGTGCCCTATCACGCCTCTGCTTCGCGTGCTACATTGGTTAACTGTTTGCTACTTTTTTGAATACAAAATATTACCGTGACCGGCAAAATGTTTGCATAGCAAAGGCGTGGCTGCATGGATACGTGGTTACTTAGCTGGAAAAAGAGAGGAAAATAGGTAACTAATAGCGACTATCAGTAACTTCTAGTAACTACCAGTAACTACTAGTAACTACCTTTAACTACTAGTAACTACCAGTAACTACTAGTAACTACAAGTAACCACCAGTAACTACTAGCAACTACCAGTGACTACTACTAACTACCTTCAACTACTAGTAACTATCAGTAACTACAAGTAACTACTAGCAACTAACAATAACCACTAGCATAACCAGTAACTACTAGTAACTACAAGTAACTAGTACTAGTAACTACTAGCAACTACCAGTAACTACTAGTTAACTACAGGTAACTACTAGTAACTACTAGTTGCTCAGTACTAATGACTATCAGTGAGAAGACACAATACCACATATTACACAGAGTGTATATTACTGGTGCACTTGTGGCTTTCCACCATGAAGTATATACCAAAATAGCGACCAGATATTGCGAACATGGATTTACGATTCATGTTATTACTCACTTTGCTTGGAAATATTACAGCTCGACAGTTCTGTGTGAACAGCGCAAAAATATAGAACGGTTCCGTGTGAACGAAGTGTCCTGTCAAATTTTTCAACCGGTTGAAAATTCGACCGGTACCGTGTTAACGTAACCTTAAAGGGGAAGCAAACATTACCAGTTGACCGCTTTTGCAATTGACTGTGATTTTCTTATAGAAACCTTTCTTAAAAGCGTTTTGACCTCTTTCACTGAAAGTGGTTTGGATGTAAGAAAATGTTAAATACTATAGAGCAATTTTGATATATTCAAATTCATACTTGAGGCACAACAATGAATAATACATTTCTTTTATTTTATTCCCCCAAGGTATGACTTTTGATATAATTTGACGTTTGCCAATTAAAATGTCGAAATGCAGTCCAATTAAGATGACCATGAACATACATCTAGTCCAGTCATTTTATGGAAAAAAATCGGTCAACCTGCCACTAATTGCAACAGAAGGTTTTTCAACGGTTTTAGACTCTGCAATGTATCCTTATTTTCATATCAAAAGTCCCAAAAAATCCCATTACGGGAAGTTACCAAAAAACGGGTTTTATTATGAAGCTCTGAGACCCGTTTTATGAGTCCATGGGAACGAGGCTGACCTAAACTTTTTTTTTATAAGGCGCGTGAAAAGATCTTTCACTTAGTTGAAAGCAATGAAATTTCCAGCTTACACGTTCAGTTTTAATGTGTTCTTAATACTTTAAGTGAGGAAATATATTATTTTGGTGAATAAAAGCTGCATTAGCTGGGCGCGTTTAAATATAAAGTAAACCTGTTTATTTATAGAGCCTTTTTGCGCGGTCTGTATTGGTTGTTTGTGCTTTATAATTTTTGTTTTATTTTTCAGCTTAAAACTTAGCGAATTAATTTTGTTCATTTTGAAAACTAGGTATTTTAACAGAAATAAAATAACAGTTTCTGTGGGAAAATTAACCTTTGCGAGTTTCGAAGAAGTCGGTCTTACAGGAGCTGGCGCCATCGCTGTTACGCATATACATTTCAGTAAGGAGTCTTTGTGCTTGCCCTGCATGGTTTGAATTTCTGTAGACTGCGAGCAGTCTCTCTTTTTCTTCAGATTTAGTGAGAGCAATGCACGCGCGCGGGAGAGGCGAGGCCGC